CATCTGGCCTTGGAATCTATGAATCAGATTTGGATTCCTAATATGTTTCAGCAAACTTTGCGCTGCTGAAGAGAAGCTCAGGCCCATTTTGCTGTTTACAGCCATGAAATAGATAACAGCCACTACACCATAATACAGACACAAACTCTTCTTAACCTAATCAGGTGCGCAGACAATGAAAATAACATGCTGGTACGTAGGAACATGAGAATTATTTATTTCTCAATCTTTTTTCTTATAACAAATCAAAAATATTCTAGGTAGCATCATACAGAATACAAAAATACTTAAAATCAAAATTAAGAAAATATGTTTACACAATGCTTGGATTTTCATGAAATAACCACAATATTCCCAGCATGCAGATTTTTATGGCACAGCATGATATAAAAAGTATAACCAACGAATATAGTTATTGTGGTTAGTTTTATACCTTGTTAAAATACTCAAGCCTGGTAGTGATGATTACTTAGCTTCCAAGTACACATACAATATATAAAATTTAGGGAGACATTTCTATAATACAAGCCAAAGCTGTTTTACAAAGAAGTCATGTTTAATAAACACCCAAAACCTAGCATTAACATAGTCCTTTCACATTAGACTTTCTGCAAATGCGTTTCATAGCATCCAGTAACTGTTCCTTAGAATTTGTATTTGCTTGTACATACAGTGGTTTATGTTAAAATGAAATACTTTGTCTCATTTCACTATCATCAGCTCACAACATTATTTTCCTGCTCCTGAGAATATAATCAATACTGTAATGAAAGGGTTTTTTTTTAAATGTAAGCTACTATTTTTAACTTAGAGATTTGGCATCACAATATTTGGCCCAGTCCTGCTTCTGATAACATCAATATTAATAGCCGCACTTCTCCCTGTACATGTCAATTACTTAAAACCATCCACTACTCATGAACTAATCAGTGAACTTCAAACAAGTTATATAAATTTTAAACAATCAATATGAAGTGGCAGATACATGACATCAAATTCTTCCGGAGTATCCTGGTTTTGATAGGTGTTCAACAGAATGCTGTTATGTTTTCTTGAGTATGAATTAAATTGCTATTTCCCCCCTCTCCCTCCCTCCCAAAAAAGTTGATACTCTCTTAATATTCACAAGACTGGGAGCACCCAGGCTATTATTTATGTTAGATTTCTCTCTAGACTATAAAATGGTTCTGAAACAACACACGAACTGTTATGTTCCATTAAAGCAGTGGTTCCCAAAATGTTACAGGGGGTTCTCGGGAAAAAATTCCCTAATGGCGGACAGAGCTGTTCCTAGGGACCCTGGGAAGCTCGGGGCCAGCAGCCCAGAGCCCCTGGATTTCCAAGAGCTAAGCAGATCAAAGCAAGCATAATCTATCACACTGTGGAGATTTAAACTTCAAGGACTCCTTATAAGAAATGGAAAGGGAGGTGGATATATTTTGCTGTTTTTAAAATTAAATAGGCATTAAGCTTTGTTGTAACGTGTGTTGTTTGCCTGGACTGCTCAAGACTTGAATGCTTGTGTAGGAGGAACTCTTTGAGTTGGCTTCTTAAATACCTTCATGCTGTTTTACATCTGATACTCCTTGATGAAACATAGGAGCCTTGTCTTATAACAGGCCTATTCAAAATGATACGAGCTACGAAAATGAGATCTTGGAAGAGTGTTGCCGTTTTCATAATGTAATAAAAATACTGTAATGATAAATAATAATTAATAATAAAGTGTGTAATAAGCATGTCATAAAAACAAATTTTATATTTCCAAGATCACCGCTTTTATAATTTATACTCAGGTAAAGGAGAAAATCCCTGGAAATATTCATTTTTAGGAGGGGGTTCGCGAGACAACATTTTAGCGAAAGGGGTTCACAGGTTGTTAAAGTTTGAGAACCACTGCATTAAAGTATAATACAGGTGCTGAAAAAAAAAATCTATTTGTGAAAAGTATTAATTTTTTTCCAAAAAGTATCTTGTAAACTTTGTATATGCTTTTTAAAGTTTTTTTTTAAATGTCAGATTTTAAAGCTGGTATAAAATCTATAGTAATAATAAATTAACTTTTTAAATAATCTAAGTTATTGTAAGAATTTGTATTTGCACACAACTGCAATCTCTAACTGTTAAGTGGTACTAAAGAGAAGTCACAGGTGACAGCCTGAGAGGAGAACTGAAGTGTCGTATATACTCGTTTATTAGCCCATTCGTTTATAAGCTGACCCCCAAAATGGATAGGTAAAAATAGCAAAAACTGTATGACCCTTTCATAAGCTGACCCTATATTCAGGGGTTGGAAAACTTTGGCTCCCGGCCCGTCAGGGTAAGCCGCTGGCAGGTTGGGACGTTTTGTTTACCTGGAGCGTTCACAGGCTCTGTGCCTGTGAACGCTTCAGATAAACAAAACAACAATGTATTAGACATTCAATTCAATGATTCCATAGAGTTTAAAATCATCAAATTTTGGTGTAGACCCGTTTATAAGCCGACCCCCGCTCTTTGATGCATTACTTTTTTACCAAAAATATTCGGCTTATGAACGAGTATATACGGTAATTCATTTTCTGTGTTCATTTATTTGTCTGATAGCTAATATTTATAAGTGCCTGTCACTTATTTACATTTGGTAGTTGACAGGGTGAGCATGCAAACAAATGAGTCTCTCAGTGGATGACACCTGAGTCCTGAAACTTACTTGATAGTAGTTTATTTTTAAATATGTTAAGTTTAAGAAAATTTCTAGACCTTCATAGGTTCAATTCTGCAAATGAGACTACTTGCATTAAGTAGCACGTCTAGGTATCTGACCCCAAGTGATCACAAACATGGAAAAGCTTCCCTGTATCTGAACATAAGAACGGCCATACTGGGTCAGACCAAAGGTCCATCTAGCCCAGTATCCTGTCTTCCGACAGTGGCCAATGCCAGGTTCCCCAGATGGAATGAATAGAACGGGTAATCATCAAGTGATCCATCCCGCCACCCATTCCCAGCTTCTGGCAAACAGAGGCTAGGCACTCCACCCTACCCATCCTGGCTAATAGCCATTGATGGACCTATCCTCCATGAATTTATCTAGTTCTTTTTTGAACCCTGTTCTAGTCTTGGTCTTCACAACATCCCCTGGCAAGGAGTTCCACAGGTTGACTGTGTGTTGTGTGAAAAAATACTTCCTTGTTTGTTTTAAACCTGCTGCCTATTAATTTCATTTGGTGACCCCTAGTTCTTGTGTTCACTTCCTTATTTACTTTCTCCACAGCAGTCATGATTTTATAGACCTCTATCATATCCCCCCCCTTAGTCATCTCTTTTCCGAGCTGAAAAGTCCCTGTCTTATTAATCTCTCCTCATACAGAAGCCATTCCATACCCTTAATCATTTTTGTTGCCCTTTTCTGAATCTTTTCCAATTCCGATATAGCTTTTTTGAGATGGGGCGACCACATCTGCATGCAGTATTCAAGATGTGGGCATACCATGGATTTATGTAGAGGCATTATGATATTTTCCTGTCTTATTATCTATCCCTTTCTTAATGACTCCCAACATTCTGTTCGCTTTTTTGACTGCCACTACACATTGAGTGGATGTTTTTAGAGAACTATCCACAATGACTCCAAGATCTTTCTTGAGTTGTAAGCTAATTAGACCCCATCTGCAATTCTAATACACGTTAAGTACTGCTTGCAATCTTACCCTGCAGACTACAAGACTAAAACAGGCCAAAACACAACTGTAAAACAAAACTGGTCTAAAGTATAAAACATAAGAAGGTGAGGGTGAAATCTGAATTCCACCTCAGCCTGAAGCACAGCTCAGCTGCCAACCCTGGAAATGGGTCTTCTGAGTAACCACCAACTGCAATGCTATCTCTCTCCACTGCAACTCTTTAGGAGATTCATCCCCTCCCATTGTTTCCAGCCTACAAAAAGCCAGTGTTATTTCACTCTATTTTACTACAGTAACAGAAATCAGAACTTTAAGATCTAGAAGCCAGGATAACTGAAAACCTACACAGATTAAAGGGAAAAAAACACAACTCTCAAACTAATCCTGCTGTAATCTTTGTGTATCACAATTAGCATCAAACACAATAGGAAGGCCAGCGTCACGTATATGGGAGTTCAGTGTAAAAGGAGCCTAGGCAGCGCAACAATGGGCACGGTACAAACAACTATATAAAACGAACTAGAGGGGTGGTAGGCTTAGGGCACTCCCCATCTCCTGGGGCATGTTAGAGCAATAGCGGGAAGAGCAGAAACCCATATTCCCTCTCTATACGGCGGCCATTCCACCCGACGGGAACTAAGATAACGGAATAATTCGAATCTTTGAAAGAAAACAAACAAACCCATTGAATAAAAAAATCCGCCCCGTGCCCGGGGTGAACCCGCCTCGGCCCCAAATCCTCCTTCTCCCGGATTAACCCTCCTCGCCATTGTTGGGGTTAACCAGCCTCTGCCCCAAATCCTCCCCAGTTAACCCCCCCATGCCCCAAATCCCCCCTTAGCCCTCGCCATACCCTCAAAACACCGCCCCCCATGCTCGGGGTTAACCCGCCTCGGCCCCAAATGCTGGCCCCCCCCGCATGTTAACCCATCTACCCACCAAAAAAAAGCCCCCAGCCCCAGCGCCCGCCTGAACAAACTCCGCCCGAGTTAGCTCCACCCCTTTACCTCACCCAACATGGCGGACGAACCTACCTTAGCCACCGCCGCTCCTCCGACTCTAGTCCTGATGGCCCGATTTCATTGGCCACCGTATGGCAACACGAGAAGTCAGTCGCAGCCAATGAAAGGCGAGGACGGCGCACGAACCGCGGGACCCGTCCGGCAGGCCTTCCCGATAGCCATTGGCTCACTTTGCTCCGCCCCGTTGCGCGCGCGCGCGTCGGCTACTCTGCGCATGCGCAGACAGCTGGTTGTGTCCAATCCGCTCATGGCTTTCGACCAACACTGGGTTCGAACCCCGCCTCCTGCCCGGCGGGGTGTGGTTGGCGGTTTTTGCGTTAACTGGGGAGCCTCCGCCGGGCGGGCACGTGCGCCCAGCGGAACTGAGGGGTCGAACGCCGGGATGGAGAAGTGCCGTTAGCTCGGGGTGAGCCTGGCCACGCCCACAGCAGGTGTCTCCCTGCTGCCCTGGGAGGTTCCTCCCGCCGGGGCCGTCCCGAGCCCGCTATTGCAGGCGCGCGCATCAGCACGGCCTCGCCCGCAAAGGTACCGTGCCCAGCGGTGGGGATGCTGCATTCGCTCCGCTGCCAGGCCCCTGCCGAGCCTGTGTGGTTTGGTAACCGATGCGTTTCAATGGTCCCCGCTCACGGAAAGGCGAGTGGTGGGGGGTGTTCTCCGCTGCGGGGTCTCGTTAATAAGGCAGCGGGGTCTGGCCTGCCCCGGGGAACAGGGGCTGCTGGTGTCGGGCTGCTGTTGGAAGGACCCTGCTAGTGGCAGGGAAGTTCCTGTCTCCCCAGTTAACAGCTGCTGTTTTCCTAACGTAACTGCTTGTCAACCCCCCCCCCCCCCGGGAAAATGTAGTTGAGGGGAGGGATCAGATCTCAGTTGAGGGGAGGGATCAGATCTAGCTGGAATTCTTGAAGTTCTCTTCTCCTTTTTTCATTGCCTAGGTTACAAATAGTTAAAAACCTCTCTCTGTCAGATCTTTCGGAGCAGTTCTTATTAAAGAACCTTTCCCCAGAAGTTTACAGATGAATGTTAACCAACCACTCCAACATGCCAGTGTTCCTATTTAGGTCCTGAACCTGCAATCAATAGTACACATGCCTAAGTGAGACTTCTCACATGCATACAATCAAGTCAACGTGCATACAGTTAAGCATGTATACTATTGGTTGCAGGATTGGGTCCTCAGATGTTGCTGGATATTCTGGTTTGATGGCAAGAATGCATCCACAAATGTGCACCTTGAAAAATTTACACAGTGAAATAAAAATGTACACAATCAACTTTAAAAAAAAATCAGATTTCTGTGTGTTGCATCTACTGTTATTATAAGTAACTCCCATATCACTAAAGCTAAGAGATTTAGAGGAAATAAGCCAGCTTCACTGTTTTCCCTGTATAGTCTGACCCTTTCCAGCAAGGGAGTGAAGAACATTCTTTTTAAAAAATGTGACTGGTAGGGGGGAAATATGTAGGACTCCAGGACAGATGTAGTTCTTGAAGCTACTGTAAATACTTTTTTAGATGCTGACTAGATTTTTAAATTGAGTACATAAAATGTCATCAATTATATATTAGATTATTACATAATCTCATCAAGGTTCTATTCTGGGGAATTTGGCTGTACAATGCAGAGAGGGGGTTATTGCTCTTCTGTCATCACTCTCTTTCCTTGGTTGCCGGTACAAAAGGAAGAAGGAAGCGGATCTTTGATAATATCACTTTTAAGTAAGCTGTAAAACTGTTCAATTTTAGCAGCAGTTTACTCATATTACTTTCATATTTCTGGTCTATCTGTGGTGGAAAGTAATGCCTGATCTTGAAAACAATCACTGTAAATTACTTCAAACATTCTTTTTCTTTAATTTACAGAGGAATGGAATTTTCTTGGCCCAAAGGAGAATGAAAAGTGCTTTTATGAGACCAAAAGAAGTACTAAGGATTTTGGAGAGATCACATTGTAACAATAAAGAGTTGCTGGCAACTGAAGATTCATTTCATGTTTCTTAAATCTTGGTTGTCGTTGGAAATTTAATTGTGCCCCTAATTCAGCATGGAATCTGGCACTTCCCCCAAGAGCAACGTAATAAATTGGGGAATTCAGTTCTAGGACAGCAAGTTCATAATGTTCTATTCTAGCCTCAATTTAGTGCAATTAATGTTCTAATTGTTTTTTGAAGCATAACATACATGCATTCAACTACTTCAAAGAATGGAAGAAGAAAAAAGTAAGTTTATTAAAAATAAAGCATTTTTTATAATCAGGCAGATCTTTCGAGGGAATTTTTTTGTAACTAATCTGGGTAGGATTGGCCTGCCTTCATTTGAAAACAAGACCCCAACCTAACTAAGTTAGAGTGATTAAAGCTGCTAACGTGACACAGTTTGACTAAAGTCACCGAGTGTGTGCTGACTTTTTTTTAAAAATGTATATATCATAGTGGACTGGAAGCAATTTACTTTTCTCTGGCACTTCTGGTTCTATATTTGTAGTACACACCTTGTATTCTTTAGATTATTCAGCACTCTCTTGTGTCCGCAATAGCACTTGCCAGAAATACTATATCCTTCCTATGGAGAAAGAGTGCCATCTTATGTGTGCCTATAATCTGTTACTCAAGAAGAAGAACTTTAATTTGCCGTGCATCTCTTGGGGTCAAAATTCAGAGTCTTTTCCGAAGCCTATAAGTCTGCCACTGTTTCTGGAGAAGTTTACTTTCAATGCAATTGGTGTTTGGCAACTTTAACAGAAAAAAGAGAATCATACACTAAAAGGAAGCAGAAAATGGACATGCCTCGCTGAATACTACAGAAAGTATTGCTGGTCTGGCAACACTTGGTCACTTTTGGGCTTGTAGGAGATGATTCTTGTATAAAAATGAGTAGAACCTCACAGACTCCATTTCAACTTGCTGCTTTTAGTGGCAGCTTGCCAAGGTCACATCCTAACGTGTGTAGCCATAACAGTGGGATGGTTTTCTTTTTCCCCTGTAAGTATGTTCTCAGGCAGTGCTCTCTCAAATGTCTACTGTAGGTAAAGCTAGCTGAATGAAAGCTATTTGGAGAAACTTGGTAAGAAGCAAGAGGCTGCCAGCATATAATCTCTCTCTGATCTTTTTATCTAGCTGTTTATACTGTGCCTGGCACATCTGAATGTCTGGATGTGGAGACCCTTAGCAGTGTCAGTGGCGAGAGAGGTGAAGGTGATGTCATCTATTTTTTTTCATTATGGGGGGCAGAGGGGACATGGTGATAAATGAGTAGTGCTTGTGGAAATTATGGTGGGAATGACAACCTGAAGGCTGAAATAATGTCTACCACAGGATAAATATAGCAGGCAGCTGCAGTGCAAGTTCCCTATCCTTAGCTGGAGAAAGACCACCTTGAAAGCTAAGAGAGTGATTACATCTCCATGGCCATTCAGTCCTGGGCCTCTCTGCTGGGACTGCCAAGAAAGGTGCCAAATGTGAGGTGACATTAGTAATGTGGACACCTGTCCACTGAGAATTGGATTGAGAATGTGAACTTGTTTCACATAGGGGCATCAAGCAGCCATGATTCTTTCTAAATAATTATACCAAACTTATTGTCCTGGGATGTTAGCACAATAGGTAAAATATGTGAAGTGCTTTGAAGAGAAAAAGCACTAACTGTAATATCAGTAATTTTTATTCACTGTTGACCCTGGGTTGGATTTGAACTGCAGACCCAGAGATGAAAGGCTCTGTGTACCATTGCCAATCCTTTGAGGTATCTAGTTCATCATTAGTATCCAGCCATAACAATTGTTGAAACAGCTGAAAAGAGATACATCACGGAAGCAACAGTACAGGGTTGTAATCTTGCTGTGGTGAAACCTGCTATTGAATTTGCTAATACTTAACATAACTTTTTTTTTTAAATAACCTTTTTTCCATTTTTTTTTTTTAACAAAAATCCCTCAAGGAATAAAAGCACTTCTAGTAGTGCAGGGATGTCTCTCAGGATTTGTTGGTTGTTGGAGCTCTGACATGGGATTCCACCTGACCAGTTTGTGTGTTTTCAGGGGTGGACATTGGTCTTCCTTGTGTTAGCTATCTCTGTGAATACAAGGGTTAGGGAGAAGGTATTAGCAGATGGCAGGTGCCCTCCCCATCCAATCAGCTTAATGGAAAAAGCACTCTCCAAATCTTGCCTCTTAATATTAAAGGTGAGCCCATTGCTGCCACCCATACGGTTGCTGATCTTGCACTCATAAGAGAGCTTTGTGTTCCCCTTCCCCCTCCAGAAACCAGCTTCCTTTACATTACTCAACAGTTGCCATCTTTGGTAAACAGAAACCATCCTGCCTAAGGAAACTATACCAGATGTGGAAATATTTATTCATGTCCTTGCAAATACCCAAACATGTTATCCTGTGACTTCTTAGCTAGAAGATAATATGCATAGCCATTTGATATCTGAGGATATTTACCCATCCAAATTAGCAGTCTGAGACAAGAACATAGAGATTCCTCTCTAAATATGATAAAGTTATTTAGAAATTAGTTAAGTGATAAAATAGACTCCTTGTTGTTTTTGTAGATACAGACTAACATGGCTACCCCCTGATAATAGGCAAAGAAGGAGCATCTTAATACCAATAATACATTTTCTTGTCCTGACTGATTTTGTGACACATTGAAGCAATACACTTTTTATTAGAGACCTTTCCAGTTAAAATATTGGCAGCACTAGGCGTTCCCACAAAAGGCTTCCCCATTTAGACTGTAGACTGCGGGCTCGTGCTTTGCAAGAGAGAGGAGGAGTGTGAGGCCAGGGACTCTTATTAATTGGTTTTTCCATTTTAAAAAGAACGCTTTTTATGACCATACCCAAGGAGGGAGGTATGCTTCTTGGTGTGGTATAAGTTAATAAAACTAACACCACTTGGCAAACAAACTTGTTAAGCTGCACTTGCCTGAAAATGTTTACATTTTTTTTCTGGTAAATATACTGAGTATATTCTTAGGATAGCACAGTTATCAACTTGTGGGGATGTGAAGAATATGTAAAAGCTTGGTAAAAATACCTATTGTGTGATGCAATCTAGTCAACTAAAAATTTTGTTCTTCTTAATTATTTTTATGAGCCTCAGTGATAATTCATCTCTAGCAGAAATAACAGCACCCAGAAAGAGGAAGAAGATTCTAAACTTCCTTCCTGTTTGATGGTACTAGAATTTTAACAAAGGACACTTCTGAGCATAGGTGCTGACTCTGTGGGTGCTCAGGAGCTGAAACACCCACAGAGAAAAAATAGGGGGTGCTCAGCACCCATGGGACTGGCTGAGGCTGCTGCTCTAGCGGCCCTGGGGCTGCCCCAATCATCCGCTGTTGAGTGGGGGATGCCCCGCCACTCACTCCTCTCTGCCCCACCCCCCACTTCCCTGTTAAGGCAGTAGGGGGCAGAAAGGAGCCAGCAGAAGGCGCTCAGGGGAGGGAGCAGAGCAGGGGTGAGGCCCCGGGGGAGGGAGGGGGGAGCCGGTGTGCAAAACCAAAAGTCAGCGCCTATGCCTCTGAGTCTCCAGAAAGCCCCTCAAGCACATCACTAGATTACACTTTCATTTTCAGTTTATATTTAGGGCCAGATTTTTAAAATTATTTAGGTGGCTAAAAATGTAAAGAGGGGTTTGGTGGGATTTTTAAAAGTGTCCAGGAGCCTTTGAAAATCTCACTGTGTCCCTATCTGCATGTTTAAAAAGCATTTAGGTGCCTAAAATCTGGGCACTAGAAACTGTATGCTCTTGTTGTAAACAGAAATGTGCATTTCAGGTGATGCACAGATGTTTTGGAGGCAAATGGAAGATGAAAGAGTGGACTTCATATTTGAGCGAGTGCAAAACGTATTGCTGTCTCTGAAACAGAAGATCAAGGATGGAACTGCAACAAATGAAGGTTTGAAACCCTTATAATAGTTATGCATGACTAGAATCAAATCTTGGGCCACCTTACCTGAAGCTGTTTGTTAACTTGCCAGACCTTAGCTATAAGTTAAAAAATATATATATATTGTGCCCAAAGATGGTGGTATTATTACTTATTATTCATATTCTCATAGCACCCAGGAGCCCCAGTCTATGGACTAGGACCCCATTGTGCTAGATGCTGTACAAACATGGAACAAAAAAAGATAGACCCTGGCCCAGAGAACTTGCAGTCTATGGGTACATCTGCACTAGCGACTGTACACGTCAGTGCATGTCCCAAACCCCCCTACTGTCCACACCTAAACTCCAGAAACACATGTCTGAAGGTGAGTAGAGGGCGTGTAAGCTGACATGCCTGAGGAGTATGAGCAAGTACCTGTATGGCCCCACACCCGTACCTGTTTGCAGTGTTGACGGGCATAAAGGAGCATGTATCAGGTCTCGAGTTTCACTAGTCCTCCATCTCCATTCCCACAATGCACTGAACTTGTTTCTTCCTCACCCTCCTTACCGAATCTATAAAGGTCTCTGTGTTGTCTGTCTGTCCCATCCCCGTCTCCCCTTCCCCCCCATTTTCACGAGTAGTAGCAAGCTGCACTGGCTACATCAAAACAACTTTCCCCTGCACTCTTTAGCTCAATATAGGTGAATGTGAATCCTGCTCCAAGAGCAGCCGCCTGACCCACCAGCCACATTCACGTGCCAATCAATGTGTGCTTGGAGTACAATGTCCTCTACTATTTGCCTGGAGTGGCAGGAACAAATATCTGTACCAAGAAATTTCATGGAGGCTGGAGTTCAGGGGACTCTGTCCTCGTACTGGGAACACATCAAGCACTTGAGGGTCCTGGACAGAAAAGCAAAAGACTCCAACAGTCGCTCTAGGAAGGCTCGTCATACATGCCCCTTCTATGATGGTCAGAACAGGGTGCTGTTGAGGGCTCCCAGTACAAAGCCTGAAGTGGCTCATGCTCCCTTCCTCAAGTCCCCCAGCCTCAATGTCCGACAGGAGGCCAATGCGGGCCAGGGTGAGGAGGCAGCAGGGACTGTAGAGGATGCCTGGAAGCCCCAGAGGACAAGGAGTATGTGATTCTCCACCGCTACCTAGAGGAGCTGGTTAAGAAAAGCCTCTCCCCTGATGAAACTGAGGAGGACCCCAAGCTGTGGCAAGAACCAGAACTGAAGGCCGGTAAGTTATAGTGGACCCCCATACACTCCCTCCTCGCCAATATCCCCTCTTGCTCCGGTGCTGTACTCCTGATTTTAAAATTCAGGGCATTTGCAGTACTTGTGCACTGACGTTTCCTCCCTGGATAATATGCCATGCATTGCTGTGTCTCTGAATTTGAACTGCAGTGCTGTTCAAACACCTTGTCCTTTTACCAGATTCCTTCAACTCCGCCGACCTCCATCCAGCCCCTGCTCTGCTCCACCTCAAAATGCCCCCCCCCCGAAAGACACTGCTATAAGTCAAGGCTTTTATTGATTTCCAATCAACAATTATGCATTTAGCTAAAGCAGTGTCTTACAAACAGATTATTAACGAAAAATCATTGTGCATTTCTCAGCCAGCAGTCTGGCAGCAGTGGTCCCAGAGACACCTGGTGCAGGGGAAAGGAAGGGGGAAGTTAGAAAGCTCCCAGTTGGGGATGGGACAGTTGTAGAAAACTTAGTTGTTTGTCTAAAGTTAGTGACAGCTGTCTTTCGTCGCTTAGAAGATTACACACTTCCCCCCCACCCCCACCCCACCCCACCCCATCTTACCGTCCCCTTACAAATGGGAATGGCACAGAACGGGGATGGTGTGGGTGATGTTGAGGGACAGCGGGGTTAGGTCTGGGCTAGGGAAGGGAACAGAACACAGTTATAGAATGCTTTGGTTATTTGGGGAAAAGTTACTCACAGGAGTCCTTTTTCCCGTGGAAGATTACAACATTTTTACCACCCACGTTCCTGGTGTCTGACCTCTGCCTGCTTTGAGCCGTGGCGCACAAGCCAGGGGAAATGGGGGGAAGAAGAATCAAGTCTGGTTTGGGATAAACACGGTGCGGTGTTCCTTTGCAGTGGAGAGCTTGTGGTGGTTACCTGAAACCACAGGGAAACAAAGTTGCAGCGTGGCTCTTTTTTTTTTCCCCCCATGTCCATTTCATCTTTGGCAGTGACTTCAACATTGGCAGTCATGCCTAGTGGTTAGAGCAGGAGTTTGTAGTCAGAAATCAGAGCCAAGGGTCAGAGCTGAAGTCAGGAATCGGAGCTGAGAGTCAGGACCAGGTTTCCTGGAGTGAGCTAAGGCTGCATCGAAGGCTGAAGCAGGGCTGGATCAAGGCAGGAGCAGGCTGGGAACAGGTATGCACAGGAGCTGTTGCAACTGTGGGTGAATACTTTGAACAGCCATTGAGCTGCTGCTTCTGGGCTTAAGAGCCAGTCTGCTGACTCGTCCCACCAGTCAGGTGATGTAGCCAGTCAGGTAGCCTACTATAGGCCTGCTGGGCTCATTAGGTTATCCAGAGACTGGCTCTCCTGCAGGTCCTGCTTCCTGACAGTATCCCCTGACCCCCACCCCCAGGGTGCCTGCTTGGGGCCTGGTTTCTTGGGGAACTTCTGATGGAACTCTTGCAATAGGTCTGGAGTGTGGATGTTCTCTACCAGTTCCCAGTATGGCTCCTCCAGACAGTGGTATTCCTAGTCCACCAGGTACTGGAACCTTTCCCTAACTCACCAAGAGTTGAGAATTTTATGAATCAAGCACTCCTCCTGTCCGCAGACTGTTATGCGTGGCGCTGGCATGTTGGAGCGGTTTGGGTATGGGTCATCAGTGCACGGCTTTAAAAGTGAGATACGAAAGACAGGATTGATCTCAAGGACTTGGGATGCTGTAACCTGAAAGCCACTGGCTTTACCTGTTCTATAATTTTGAAGGGGCCCAGGTATTGGTAGTTTAGTTTGGTGGATGGGCAGCTCAATTTAAGGTTCTGGGCAGAAAGCCACATGTGGGCGCCTGTGGCCAGATTGGGGGGCAGCCTGGTAGTCTTGGTGTGCATGATGTTTATAGACTTCCGTGGGGGACTGCAAGTATTCCTTGAGCTCCTGGTGCACCTGGTGTAGGTGGGAAGCTAAATCTGCAGCGGCTGGTACTGGGGAGCTCACAGGTCAGTCTGCGTGGAAGTGAGGGTGAAAGCCATAGTTTGCAAAGTGGGCTACTTTGGATTGAGGTGTGGACTGCATTGTTATATGCAGAGTCGGCACAGCGTAGCAGGGAAAGCCAGACATCTTGGTGGCAACTCAAAAGCAGCTAAGATATTGCTCCAGGATTTGATTGACTCTCTGCCCATTAGTCTGCGAGTGATAGGCGGAGGATGTGATGGGCTCAGTGCCAAAGAGTCTGAGAAATTCTCACCAGAATCAGGAAATGAACTGGGGACCCCAGCCCAATACAATCAGTACCCCATCAGTACCCCATGATAGCGGAAGCCATCTCCCAGGAAGAGCTGATGAAGCATCCCATCTTTGTTAGGAGGTTGACGACAACCAGGATTGCTTAGTGTCCCTAGGAGCATGACAGTTCTATGATGAAGTCCATTGATATATAGTAGACCATAGCTGTAGAGGTAAGGGAAGAGGCTGGAGGAGACCTAGGGGGTTTGATTGTGGGGTTTTGGTGTGGGCACAGAGATCACAGGACTTTAGATAGTCCTTGATGTAATCTTGTAGGCCTGGCCACCAGAAGCTCCTCAAGACCAGATTCCAGGTCTTGAACTGGCCAAAATTCACACTCCCTCAGGGAATCATGGCATAGTTTCAATAACTGAAGCCTAGGTTGTTCCGCCGGAACACAGATACAACCCTTGCGACAAAGGAGGCTATTCTATAGTCTGATCCCTGAGTTGCGTCGCATATCCACATTGTTCAGAGCCTGGCGGATCTGGATTATGAACAGGTCATCAAGGAGAAGGGAGCGGATGGAAGACATTGGACTGTTGTTGATTGTCCCATTAACGAAGTTGGACATCTTGAGCATGGTGGCAGAGGGCTCTTCACAACGTTTGAGATATTCATCTTTATGGGATAGGGCAACAGCCTTCCCTTTTCTCTTCCCTGGGCGATAGGTCACAGCAAAGCTGAAGTGAGTGAAAAAGAGGGACCAGTGGATTTGGTGTTGGTTAAGGTGTCTAGCAGTCCATAGATACTCCAGGTTTTTGTGGTCCATGGGAATCGGGCTCCTTCTAGAGGTGGTGCCACTCCTTGAAAGCTGCCTTAATAGCCAGTAGCTCCGTGTCCCAAAGATGGTAATTTTCTCCCAACAGCATTAGTTTCTGAGAGTAAAAGGCACAGGGATAGAGTAGATTGCGGGGGCCTGCATGTTGAGTTAATACTGCAACTATGGTGTCAGCCTCAATCCTAAATGATTTAGTGAGATCTGGGTGAATCATGATTGGTATTGAGGTGAATGCCTTCTTCTGTCGATCAAAAGCCTACTGAGCCTTCGTGGACCAGGCGAACAAGGCTGCTACTTGTAGGAGGACTCTTAAAGGTGCAGTCAGGCTAGAGAATCCTTTAATAGATGGTCTGTCGAAATTGGCGAACCCCAGAGATTACTGGATCCTGCATATATCCTTGGGCACAACCCAGTCAGATATTGCTGCCCCGTCTGTGGGTCCATGGTGAGATGATATATCCCAAGAATTCCACTGTGTCCTTATCGAACTCACATTTCTCAAGCTTTGTATAGAGATGTTTTTGGCAGAATTTCTCCAAGACAGTGTGTGCATGATGATTGTGGAGGTCCTGACTTTCAGAGAAAATGAGGATGTCATTCAAGTAATTGACAATAAATTGGTCCAGCAATCTGTAAAGATGTCATGTATGAAATGGTGGAAGGTCACAGGGGCTTTGCATTACCCAAGTGGTATGACCAAATATTCCAAGTAGCCATCCCTGATACAGAAGGCGCTCTTCCATTTGTCTCCT